AGTCTTTAAATTCCCACAGGAAGGAATTGTTCTGTTACAGGAATTCAGTATTATGAAGTGGAATTCACCCGACAGGGCAGGAAATCCCCTGCAGGACAAGCAGAAGTTTAAAACTCAAGGCTGCGTATTGAACTTCCAGTATGCGCTTTTCTGTTACAGTGTTAGAGTCGGGGAAAGAGAAGGCAACAACATCTCTCGTTACCTGCGCGTGCTATGCATCCCGCTCTTGCCCTCATTAGTGGACTTGCCACCTGCTTAACCTCGGTGGAATCGGAAGTATGTCCTTAATACTGAACAAAATGAGGAAAGAGAAAGAAAAGCCCTTACTCCGAAAATGTGGTAGGAATGACCAAGACATACAGGAAGACCACGGGAAAGGATGAGTTTCTGTGTGGAAGCCGTGATGCAAACCCAGTGTTCAGCTATGTCGGGAATGGGACCAAGCTGCACTTGTTGGCTTCCTTGCCTCTACCCCACGGGGGGTCATAAACGTTTCATGTAATGATAGCAGCTAGGACATGTATCATACATACCTGTACGCACATGCTGCACAGTTAGCACAGTAATGACATTAATATTGGTAGAAGGAGCTGTCAGAGACATAGAAATGACAGGGTAAAAGTGTCCCAGCGGAAGCAAGGGGATCTGCAACAGGAAGAAGCAAAGGCCAGAGAAAACATCTGCTACAAACAGTAATACAGGGGATGGAGAAAACAGTGTGGGAGGCAGATGCACATATGCCGTGCTGCCAAGCAGGCTGAAAAGAAGCTTACATGTTGGATTTCACCCCCACCCCTCAGACAGAAAAGACGAAACAATGCAATCTGCCACAGCTGCAGAACGTATCAGCAGAAGGAAAGCAGGCAGAGGAACGGTGCTTCAGATAGCTGACATACAAGAGCCTGAGACAGATAACTTCAGAGGAAGGAAGGGCAGAGTTGGTGAAACACAAATTAAGTCCATGTCTGTAGAAGGACTTAGGAAGGTTAAGGCAAATCAACTGAAATCGATTCAGCCATGTGGATTATCTCATTCTGGAGTAAAGCAGCCATAAAGCTTAGCTGCATTTCACACAAGGATGGGAAAATGTATCTTATGCATACCGACTTCATCGTTTCAGCTGAGCTGCCTTTTCTGAGTGTCCTGTAGTCAGACATTACAATGCGAGTCTAACTTACACTTTCAAGTCACTCCTGGAGAAGGTGTCACAGGTAGCAATGTGACAGGCATAAAGTGTATGCAAATTGCCCAATTAGATGTAACTTACTATTGAAGAAACAGTTGCAACAGCAGCAAAATGCAGTGCAAGTCATCATGCAATATAAGGATGCCAATTCAAAATCTGTCCTAAATATATATATATATAAAATACACTTGACTTTTCTGTTTATTTATTGGAGCAGTGAAATTCTTCAGGATCTCATGAAACATGCAGCTCTGGAACATAAAGTAGCCTCTCTAATAAGGTGTGATGGATAGGAATGTAGATAGGATGTATGTCTTTATGTCCTAGCCCCAGTCTCACAGAGCAAAGAGGGATTAGTTATAAATTTTCACTCTGAACTGAGGGTCAGGTCAGTGTCAGTTTAGTGAAGACTTACACTATGCATTGTCTGCTTTTTCATCACTGTGGTTCTGAAAGGAATATCTAACCATGTGACTGTATTTGAAAATTAAAAGTCTCTAAATAATGAGTGTAAGTGCATTAGATAACAAGCCCTCTTGTCTCCCCCAGGTTTCCTTTGCATATCAGAGGGAAATGACAACACTCAGCATATTTTTAAAGGTGTGTATCATCATTCAGTTTCAGAGTGAGTATCTTTATTTCTGTCTAGCAAGTTGGAGCGAGATTTATCTCCTGTGCTCTGGCCGTCAGGGAAGTGTGTGAATGTGTTCCTGCTCTGCTCTCTGAAAAATCTCACCCACCCACTAGCGAGAGAAGGAAATTGTTCTTTCTCTGAGAAGCATTCTCTCCTAGTTCTTGTATCGTATTCACCAGGGTGGTGGCTGGCCACTTTCCAGAAGTCAATTAAGTGTTGCAACTGAAAACTGTCATGTGTGATTCTCCTTTTCTTCTTTCCCTTTTACCAATATCTCTTTAAGAAACAAGTATGAGGTGTATCTTCTGTATCGTCCCATGCTGTCAGAAAAGAGATTCATGTAGAAGATGGATGAGGTGCCCTGGTGTTCCTGCTAGCGTTCAGAAACCTCACTGATATATCTTGCTCACATATTTAGGCTTAAACTGGTTCCTAGATTTGGTATCAAGAAGGAACTTTCCTGGCAATTAGGCTGCTCAGGACAGATGTGGGGTTTTTAATGTGCCTGTCTTGCTGAACTGCAGGAGGTGAGGTCCTCTTCCTGAAATCACCCAGCAGATTCACCAGGTAGATGCCTTTCTATCATGGGAATATAGGATACCTATTCTCTGCATCTCCTTTCCTTTAGCACATATAGATTAAGCCTTTTTCACTTCTAAACTACCAATCTTAAATTTGTCACAAGGTGCGGGGAAGAAGTTAGCGGTCTGCGGATGTGGAGTATTTGTTCCGTGGATCTCTTCTAGACTAAACATCTATTATTACATGATTGCCTGAGATTTTGGGGGGAGAGGGGAGGCAGCTATTTGATGATTTGTGTGACCTCTTCTGGTCTTATTATAATTATTATTTCTGTCAGCTTTTCCATACTTTCTGGTGGTTGCTACGGAGACATCATACTCTCACTTCATTGTTAAGTGGGAGAGAGAGTGCCAAGGCAGTGTCTGTAATCTCCTTCTCTTTCTCACCTTTCTCCCTCTCTCTCACTTTTGGTTGTCACTGGGAAGCATGTCAGCTCCTTTTCTTCATCTCCGAAAGAAGCATTGATGTCCTCTTAGCACCAGTGTGTTTGTTCAGCGTTTCTCGCTGTTCCTTGGGGAGATGTGTGCTAGCACAGCCTGCATCCAGAGCGAGCGCGCGAGTCCCCGGGCTACCCTGCTGAGACTTGCAGATTACCGGAGGCGTGCGGCGCGCCTGGAAGAAGCATGGTTTGAGCACCAGGCTTCTTGTTTGGGTTTGCTCCCATGGAGTACCCCTTGCTGGCGATTCAGCGCCATGAAGCCTGTGCACGATATTCTGTTTCACATAGCAATAAGTGACTCTCAAGCAGAATAATATTAGAATTTTTATGGTTAATGCAGAATGAGAAAATCAGATACCTTTAAACATTGCAGATTAAGTGAGAGTTGTTTCCAGGGGATGTGTATGGAGTGCATTTCAATTTGTTTTTATTGTCTATTTCATAAATTATATTTCCTTACAGGGTAAATTGAGAGGATTAGGTGTGGAATCATCTGTAATTAACTGGGTGCCAGCTACTTAGGAGGGCACATACAGCTTGTGTTATTAAACAGCATCGTGTCAGATTTAATGGATGTCATTACAGAAGTACCTCAGGGATCTATCCTTGGACCATTCTTATTTATGATCTCTATAAATGAACTGACAAGTCAGTGCACTGAGTGCAATGTTCATTTTTATTTTGATGACACAGTCATGTCCTGAGCTCCTAGTTGCTAACCGAACTCAAAACTGCCCTGTACATATGTTTGAGACCTCAGCAATGGTTAATTCTCAGTGAAGTTGTTTTCAGCAATGCTAAGGCAGACACTCTGACTGGAGTAATGCCATATAGGTCAGGCCTACTGTTAGTATTAAGCAGCTCTAAAACCTTCCGCACCGAAAGAACAAAAAAAGGGAATTTATTAATCCCCTATTCTATTGAAAATTGACAACTTTTGCTTTTCACATAATACTTTTTTATAGTAAACATAGAAGCATTTCTAGTTTTCTGTAGTATCTGATATATTTTATTGATTATATGAAGCTAAATATAGATGTGCAAAAGAATTCAGAAATGAAGTAATGGAAACATATTTCTATTTGCATTGTGCTGGTTTGTGAATTCCTGTTCATTTGGTGCTTTGGGGATTTTTTTGTGTGTGATTCTTCTCCTTTTTTGTTGTAAGAAAGAAGAACAATGTGCTCCCTTTTCAGACATCTTTGTAAATCTCTCCATGCTGGAAACCTTCCTTTGATAGTGCAAATTGCTTTTTATTCAATGGCAGTGATAGGGCTTGCATGGATCATCTACTAATATATCAACTCTTGGGAGAAAAAAACTGGAGGTTAGGCCCAGATTCTGCCCTTGGGTTTGGATTAAGATTACCCTTGGGGGAAGGAGGCAAGTTTCAACAAGTCTTTATTTCCGCCTGTAAATTGAACTACAAGGCACCAGAGACAAAATGAGGAAGTTGAGCTAATGCTGCTGCACTGGAAAATTGTGTTAGTGGCTCTGATAAAACTGAGGGTCTGACATGGCAAACGGAATTTAGCGTACAATGAAAATGACTGAGGAGACTGGGTCAGAAGGTGATTCATTCAATAGAAAGTAATCATCAGAGTATCATCATAAGTTGCCTGTCTGTAAGCAAATGAAAAATGACTGGTTGTTTCTTTTATCAGCTCTGCTCTGCCTGATTGTCTGTTAGTTGGTCACTGTGCTGAGCGCAGGGGCGGAGGGAAGACGGAAAGGTGGCGAGCGCCCTTGTCCCTGCGCCAGCCCTCCTCGGTGTGTGCGCCGTGTGTCGGAGCAGCTCCCGCGCCGTGGGACGCCAGGGAGACGTGGAGCACAGCAGCTGACTGGCCATGCCTCTTCCCGCGGGTTTTCTGCCTAGCTCCTCTCCTCCACGCACACGTAAGCCTGTCCCTGAGCACGTTGAAAGGGGTCTTTTTACTGGTCCCCACTTACCAGGGTTGTCTTGTTGCATCTGACTTTCACAAGTCTCAGAAACAGAGTTTTTCTGTTAGTTTTCAGTTTTGCTGCGTTTAAGTACTTCAGCTTCCAAGCAAGAAGCTAAAGTACTAAATTAACATGAAGTACCTGTCCTGCAACAAAGCAAGGGCCTTCCCTTCAAATTTCTACACAGAGAAAAATATTCTCACGATTTAGGTGCAATCTTCTCTAGCTGTCATGCTGACAAACCCGTTCTCCAGATCTTAAGACCTTAAGTTTCCAAGGTCCTAAATGATATCACTATTTAAAAGATATATTGTCCAGATTCATTTTCCTATTCCTGCTTAACCTCAGTGTAAGTCTGACTTTTTAAATCACCAGTGCGGTCAACAAGTCTAGTTCCCTGAAAGAATATGATTTACTGTTGAGTTAATGATATGTATCCATTGTATTCTTCTGTTAAGTGCAACACATCATTGCACCCTTTTGGAAAAGCCAAAAAGGTTATATAAAAAAGGATATGTTTTATTTTTTTTAAACTATCAGAGGATTACTGAGTTCCTTAGCTGGCGGTACTTGACTTTTGTCATGAGCTGGCCTTCCAGTACCTACAGTAAAGATTGAAACTGGAGTCAATTCCTTCTTTTGAGTTCCAAATGACTGCAATAGACTTTTCCTTAAGCTTAATTAGTAAATACTATAATATCCTCCAAACGTGGCTCATATGGTTAGTTAAAGCAGAACTATGGTTGTTTTAATATGGTTATTGTAGCCATACGTTTTGTTTTTATGAGTTTTTATATAGCACTATTACTTATATGCTAATCTTAAGGATATTGTTATAATTTGTTTTATGTGTTAAGTATAATGGAGGCAGTTGCTAGTATCACTATAGTTAAGGGTCTTATGAGCATCACATCTGACAAACAGTTCCTTGCTGCTAGAAGCCAAGTGAAATGGTTGTACCCAGGGATACAAATCACCTTTGAAGACAGTTTACATACATTTTCTTCAAGCAGGGAAAACTATCTAAAAGGCATTATGTCAGATTTGCAGTTCTGTACGTACATATGCCTGCGTGCTTGCAAAATTCCCAGGCTACTGGACAAAAATATGCCTATCAGGATGGTCATAGGCAGATTCTTTATGGTTGCTTTGTCTTGCCTTTTATCAAATGTGTCATTTGATTCCTTTTTGTATAAGTCCCATGGAAGGGACATGAAACTCTATGCAGGTTTTAAGGTTCCTTGTTTTCTTTCTGTGCCATGCTCCCTGCTTTATTTTATTTGTCTCATGTTCTAAAAGCAAAGTGATACATTTCCTTTGAGAGGGACACTCAGAGGCAGCAGTGACAACTTGCTTTTCTAGACACACTCCTACAGGGGCATTAATGCCAGTAAGTCCAGTGACAGGAATACATTCCTTATCCTGGACAGTAATGACATATGTGCTTTGTCAAGTGTTGTCATCAGGCTCACCAGGGACCCATATGACAATGACTTCTTAATTTTTGCCTGTGTTTTTGGAAGTGACAAAGAGGATTTCTGTTTTCCTTTGCCACTTGGAGTTCTGTGAGGCAAACTTAAAGGATATGTTGCATTTGCTAACTGGGTAGGAACTTTTTGTTGTAAGGATTGTTGTTGCTAGGTATTTATTTAAAAAAGATGACAGATCTCAAGTCCTTATGTTAAAAAAAAGGCTCATTTATTGAAGCACATTGCATCCAGGCAGCAAAATTTTGCAGATTAAAGGCCTTTTTCAAAGACCATCTTCATCAATAGACTGCAGGGCACCTCACTGCCAGTATTCTAATATTAAACTATGGAGTTTTCTCTTGCTGAGTAAATATTTAAATCTATATGTAAAGGATGCAGCTTCGACCCTAGAGAATGACAACTAAGAAAGGGGTACTCCTTTGGACAAATGATTCAAATTCCATTAGGCAAGAGGATGTTAAATCATGCTGTCCCATGCTAATGTGCTAATCTTTGAGCTAACAGGTAAAAGGCATGAGGGGAACGCTGAACAGTGCTAATTCCACCCGTGGTCATGTTTTGAAGGCTGTCTGACCTTGAAAACGTTTGCTAGAACAGGGCAGAAAGTTGAGATAGGTAGAAAATCGTCCTGACAGGTTTTAGACATGAGATAGTCAACAGGACAGATCTGGTTGCCAGGCCTGTTAGCACTCGCATGCCTATTAAGTGCTTGTGAAACTTTAATTTTGAAGACATAAGCACCAAAATAAACTAAGGGCTTCCAAGGTGAGGCACCAGCTGAGACGAGGCTCGAGGATTACAATTTCATTCTAAGAAATTGTACTCTACAGAACATGGCAGCTTTGCATTCATATCCTGCCCGAGTCCCCTAAGGACGTAGTGCACAAGGCACTGTACAGTGTGTGGTCCTAAATAGTTTCAGTGATACCGAAGCATCTGTGTGTGAATCTCTGCAAGGAAATTAGATTGAATTATAATTATGACAGTCATTTATGCCCTAAATTAGTTATCTAGCTATTTCACAGAGAGGTCAACAAGCCATTGGACTATACGGTAACTGGCAGCAAGTGCCTTACCGGAGTAAATGATAATTGCTTGCAATGCTGTGGAGCCTGCAGATAAGAGGACAGTGATGCTGCCTAGCTGGCATCGTTTTTACCTAGGAAAGGAGCCATAGAGATGGTTGTGGTAGGGGATCTCTAGTAGGAAAGTGACAGAACATAACAGACCCATTATAATACCTTTAGAGTTTGAGACAGAACACGGATTCCACTTACTTTTTAAAGACAAATAAATGGATATGGTTTTGTTAGAAATTTTGTTGATCTTCTCTGAAATACTGTCTCACTGAGCTAGCCGCAAAAGCAAGACAAGCTTTCTAAATGAGTATAGGTACCAAGGGAATAGTTTCCCTAGTGATGATCCCCATATGTATTAAGCACCCAGCTCAAATTTATTATACAAGCTAGACAAAGACTTCAAGCTGAAGTAGCTAGATTATTACTTTTGAATGGTTTGTAACATTTTTATATCTCTCTGATGAAAATACTTGACAAAATAGAGCTCTTCTTTGGAAGAACTATGCTATTGCTAAGTGGAATATCTACATGTTGTAGCTTGAGAAGGCATGAATCTAAAATACTGATACTATGTAAAACAGCCTTGTCACCCATATGACATGGATGCCACTACATGTTCTCCATCGATGACTGATGTGACAAACTCCATATGTTAAAAGGAGGCTGAGGAAAATCTTTTTTTTTTCCCCAGATGGAAAAAATATGTAACTGTGGTATACAAACACTCTTTGCAGAGTTTCTCTGTTTCCTCAGCAGTAATAACGTATCTAAAAATAAGACTTGGATTTGGAACAAGAAAAATATCATAGCCTACTGCCACCCTAGTTTTCTGCACAAAAGAAATATAGATATTTAAGGGAGTCAAGGGAAAGTAGATTTTTATTTATGGTGGCCATGCTTATCATTATTCAATACAATTATCTGGAGAGAGAATAAAGAAGAGTACTTAAGGTGTTGCTTTCCGAGTAATTAACAAGAATATTTCAAACATGTATGCAAGGAATGGCAGATCATTTGTCAGTGCTTATTTAGGGAAACGGCTCTCAGTAGTTTAGCCGCATGGGTATATGACTGCACCTTAAGGGAGCCTCATAATTAAAGAAAAGCAAAATAATTACAATTGTTAGCTATGAATATTTTATTACTACTGAAAGAAATAATACAATGGAAGATAAAACATTATGTAGTTAAGCAATCAACAGTGATTTCTTCAGTTGCAATGTCTTACACATGGTTTTGGGTTTGGGATTTTTTTAAGCTTTCAAAAGAGATTATACCTGGTGGGGGCACTGTTTCTAGACAAAGCTGTATTGCTGCCAAACTCATAGATTTCTAAAGCAGCTTATATATGGGCAAAGAAATGCCATTCAAGAGTTGATGAACAGTAGGTTATCGATTTCTACACTATCATTTTTTAAGATATCAATTTATAAATTGATAAATGGGCAGAAATATGTGATAACTAAGCCTTTAAAGCTGAAAAATATTCAACTCAGTTCAAAGAAAACGTTCAAAGAACAATTCTGAAAGAGGTGAATTGATGAACATTAAAGCATTGTGTTAAAATCGTAATATTTCTGTCTGTGCAGCAAGGTGAGCTGATCAACACTCATTTGGTTCCATTTGATTCATTGAATGCAGACATCTCACAGCTCACACAGTAGTATTATTGTGCAGGCATATTTTCAAGCAGTGTCATAAAGAGACTTTTATTTTTTTAAGTATTTAAGAGACAGCAAAGGTTTTTATCTTGGAAGAAATGTAGTTCTGGAAACATTTTTTAGCTATAAACATTCTCCATGGCATTTGCGAATGTAGAACATTTATAATGAGTTTCATTCTTTGTTGTAAGTTTAAAACTAAAACTAAAACTAAAGGTTTACAAGAAGAGAAGCACTGCTGATTTAAAATACTGGTAACACAAATTCATTGACAGTCTTTGGAACAGCTTAAATATACAAAACATTTACAGTATTTTATATACCGATGTTTTCTTCTAAAATAGAAATGATTTAAAGAATTTGTTCTCTGTAAATAAAGATCACGATCACAACAGCTGCTCCTTGTAAAAGGAGGTAATGTCTTGATCTTTCAGAAGGTATCTTTGTTGATTGTTTGCCTGCAGCGAAACTTTTTCTATTTCATAATTCTTAATATGTTTAAGGTTTGGAGTGAAAGACTACTGTCAAGTAGACTGCACAGTGTGTGAGTGTCAGTAGCACTTACGTACATTGTCCCAAAAGAAAATAGTACAGAAAGTTAGCGTATTGAGTAAGTTAGAAAGCTGTTTAATTCTAGTATTCTGACTGATTCTGTATAAGCACAGTTGGCAATAGTAAGTTTGCATTTTATGGGTATGTTTATTTAATAGTTCTGGTGCTTGTCA